GAGAGAGAGAGAGAGAGAGAGAGAGAGAGAGAGAGAGAGAGAGAGAACACCGCTTCATTAACTCTTCCAGCCCCCCTCCAATGAAACCGCACCTTGTTCCCAAGAGCACCATCTACCAACACAGTAAGTCCGCCGTCATCGCTTCACTTTCGTCTTGTGTGGGTTAACTCAGAGATGGTTAGGAATAGCCTGGTAGCTATGTTGGGACGAGACAATGTGGGCACTGGTCTCCCTTGTGCCTCAAAGGGTGACTGGGCTCGTGGTGTGAGGGCGAGAGGGCGAAGGAGGTAACGGAGTGCTGTGGGACGACGTTTCAACCACAGTTGAAAGAGCCTCAGAGTGAGAATTCCCCATCACCTCTCACAGTAGTGAAGGGTGAAGTCTTTGGAGAGCTGCTTTTCCCCTAAACTCCACGGCTCCAGTTCAAATTTGTTCCCCATCTCATCCTCGTTATCCTCCGCCTCTTCTTCCTCCTCCTCCTCTTCCTCCTCATAGAGGCTGGGCTCCTCGATGGAAGTCTCCAGGTGGTAGCAGTAGGGTTGACCCTCTGTGTACTCGTAGATAGTTGGTAAGCTGCTCTTCAAGCTACAGCGCCGACGCAACGCGACCAGCAGCGGCTGAGGCATTGTAAAAATATCCACGTTGTTGCCCAGGTCGATCCAGGCCAGGCTGGAGAACATCTTGGGGTCTTTGAGCATCTCTGTGAGGTCTTTGAGTACAGCCAGGGTGAGGCGGTTACCGTTCAGAGCCAGGGTGCTGAGTTTGGGCAACGATGCGAGAAGGGGCAGGAGAATCTTCAGGTTCTCGTCCTGGAGTTCAGTGAAGCTGATGTCCACAGCCACCACGCTGTCTCTGTTGTTTTGGAGGTAGAAGGCAACTTGACGGACATCGCGGGTGGACAGGGCGACGCCTGATAGGTCGACCGAGTCACTGCACAGCTTTTTCTGTAGGGTTGTCTTGAGACTGTTGAGGACAATGAAGAGAAAGAGAGTGAGATTACTTAGATGACTCTTTGACAATACATAAACCAGTTAAGGTTGTTGCTGTGAGGTGAAAGGATGTGATTTGGGAACAAGGCTCTGGTTTTATGTAATGTGTCCTGTGCTGTATAAAGGAGGGGGTGACTGGGCCGGCACGGAGCGGAAGGCTGACACAGAGACTCCAGCATGGGGATTTACTAGTGTAAACAGAGGAGCCAAAACATCCGAACGAGCCAGCAGCTTGAGCTTAAAGGACAGAGCTCCCTACAGCACAGGGCCACAACAGTTTGGTACTTAACAGATAAACTATAATGTGATTTAGGAAAATATGAAACTTGAATAGAAGCTACTTGGCCACTATATTTATCAGATCTGAAAGGAAGGAGATTATTCTTTTGGAAATGCTCTGTTGAGATGATGTTATTATCTCCACCAAAGAAGTCATGGTTTCTTCTATGCTTCTTTTTAGTGACCAAGATGTCAACAATTTGTTGACATATGTTGTTTACATTTGGTGAAAAGTCAGGCAAAGGAACAAGTTAGTTTGTGTGTGGATCTGAAGTAGTGCAGAAACAGGAATTATTTTCCTAACATTGCCACTTTAAACAGGCATTTTTTAACATTTCTGCTATTTTCTTATATGAAATCTGCACTTCCTTGATTGCCGATAACACATTGTGATCAGGTTACAAAACACAGTAACGCTTCACTAATGCATGATGTATCATGCATTCTTGTTGCTCCCCATTAATAAATGATTCCGTCACTATGACATCATGCGTTAGTTAATAGATGATCAAGTAAGGATTATAACTTTTACTATATTTATAACAGTTACTTCATACATTCATTTATAGCCTATGCCACCAAATGAGCTGGAATGATGTTACATAACACAAACACAATTTTCATCAGCTTTTAGGAAAGCAATGGGAGTGCGAGTTTTTGAAAATTGTGTTATAATTGTTGTTTTTGCAAGAAGGGTAGTATAAATAGTTTCAAATACAGTATCTTTGAGAAAAGGTATTGTTCTGCTTTCAGAGAGGATGATGCCCTTTTCTATGTAACTGGATTCCAGCCAATTTGGTGGCATACAACTGAATATATGACATAACTGTGATTTAACATTAACATCATTCACTGATGATCCATTAGTGTTAGTGGATCACATAAAGACATTGTGACTTCATTGATTTTTAATTTCATCATCATGACTCAAGCAAACATTGTTTTTCAATGCCGATTAAACATTTGGAACCACTTTCCATTATTAAAATAACACATTTAGACCAGAGGTCTTCAACAGGGGGTCCGCAAAATTTTTGGTTGATTAGACAATTAAAAAAAAAAAAAAATAATAATAATATTTGTTTTCTCTAAACATGAATCTGTCCATCAGCTGACAAGGTGTGTTTATAAATGGCAGTGGCACGGCCTCCCTACTCACTGTACCTTGCACGTTTAAAATAAAAACATGAATATATGAACCTGTGTATTATTTGAATAGCTTAGTATTGAATGCACAATAAAGAGGTATACACGGTACTAGGCCCATTTAATATAAAAACACAATTTTATACAATATATATAGTCGGGGGTCCCTGCTCCATCTCTCTATCAGTTTGGGGGTCCTTGGCCTGAAAAACATTGAAGACCCCTGATTTAGAGGATTGTTTAACCAGGCTGCTTTCTAGTTTTATATGAACGTTTTTTTGTGTGTGACGCAGAATATTGAGGTGATTTATAAAGTGAATGACAGTCATTGAAGGAAACTGTATCAAATATGTGAGTAGAGAGTGATATGTGCAGGACATCTGTGTGTTTTGGTGCATGAACTCATAGCACAAGGCTTTGTAAACCTTAAAGCCCTTCGAGGATATTGTGTAACACAAGCAGGATTTGAGGATGAACGTGAACACAAGTGATACTCTGACACTTTTCTGCAGCGTTAGCTATTGCTCTACATTGCAGCTGAAAATATTTTTGCATTATTTACACACGGTGATGGCCTTTTGTTTCCAAAAGGGCAAGGGATGTGGTGTGTTTAACTTGAGCTGTTACTGAAGTGGCCCGTAACACTGATTCGGTGTCAGAGTGAATTATAACATCCTCCGGCACCCAGTGACTTACTGCGACATCCACTGCAGTACCTGTCACTTGTCATGCTTTACAGTGTTTTTTGGTCCCGTTGAAATAGATGTAGCCTGAGCAGCATTGAGTGCTTCATTTTAGAAGCAGGTGATGGTTTGAAGAGCACAAACATCATGCTTTAGGGCATTTGTATTCATTGTAAAACACAAAAAAAGGAGTGTTAAAACCCACTCATGAAGCAAGCCTAAAAGGTAGTTTAATCAGCTGTTGAGTACGAAATCTATGAGACATTTATCAGGACTGCTCTATCTTTATCAAAATCTTGTGAAGCACAGCCCTCCCCCTCTCTATTGTCTGGCCTTTTATATGACAGAACCCTCATCTTCTCCAGAGGCACAGAAGTCCTAATGACTGCGGCCTGGCACTGGCTCCCTTCCAGGTGTGAATAGGTTTTGATCACACAACTTCTTCCTTTGTCAGACAGGCTCATCCTTTTGAGCTCAGAAAAAATGGATGTCTAAGTCGTCCTCTCCGGAAGCCTCTTTTATCCTTCCTCCAGATTAATCTGACACCAGAAATCACTGATAACGTCTAGCGGACATCTAGCGGACGTCTTTTTGCCGTCTTCAGATCCGCAAGAACACTGGCATCAGGTTTCAGTTTATATGACAGAACTAGTTTATAGGTAAGCGATAAAAACAGATTAAAAAGGAAATATGGGTGGATTAAGAAAAATCACATTTAATATATGTTGCTATTGTAGATGCTCTAAGCAGCACGCAGAGAGAAATAATCCCTCCGTGCACCAAATGAACTGCTGAATTTAAGCCAGTAATAAAACAAATGACATCAACATGTTAGTAATAGTGGATGCTAGTAAATCTATTCGCAAAAAACATGAAGTCTTAAAAAATATCTATCCATAATCCATTAAGTAGTCAATTAATGTGATGTGTAAAGCGCGACGTGTGGCTCATCAGTCTATGTGTGTCATTGATTTAATATAACGAGGCAGCATTTGAATTCAGTTGGCGTGAATGGAATCGCTCTCATTATTTATTAACATAAATATTCATAACTGGAGTGTTATCTGAAGCTAATTGAGATTTAGGGAAATGCTATTTGGAAAAATAAGAACAGAATGTTAAATGTTAAAATGCACGTGTTGAACAGTTGGTGGGTGGTAACATCCCATTTTATTTCATCTTTGAAATAAGTCATTTCCAGGACTTTATTTGCATTTTGCTTTCCCCCGCGGGCTTTTATTGCATTGTCTTTTTGTTTTCTGCAGAGTCATTTTACAGTTTGCTCTATTATTCGTATTAGCCCTCTGATGGCTGAAGCTAAACTGTGCAGGAGAGACACGAGATGAGCAGTCTAATCACATCTGCTCCCTGACATTTATATTTGTAAATCTTTTGACGAGGCATTATATACGCAAGACTATAGAGGAGTGTGCTGCAGTGGCACACAGACACACTCACACTACTGCATTGTCCTTCAAGGTGCAGGAACCTCACAGCTCACAGTCCATATCAACAAAGGCAGTTCCTGCACATAATTATCCGCCCCATATCTTTTTGTTTGATCGATGTTTTGGTGACAACCCGAGGAACTGGGCTGACCACTTTGTACTTTCTGCATCTTATTCTGTATTTTCCTGAAGCTGTATCACTCAGTAAAATTACTAATGGGCCCCGGAGTAAGCTTTAACATGCCTATTATGCTACAAAATTTGAGAACAGGTGATGTGGAAACTAAAAAGGCAGCGGCAACTGAAGGGTAGTTTTGGTTATTTCGTTTCTGAGCGTTTAGATGACAAAGGAACCAAGTAATTACGAGGTCAGAAAAGGCTGATTGAACAGGAAGAAAGAGAAAAAAGGTTACAAAAGTGTTGCTGATTTTTATATGCTCACATGAAATTACCCCAAAGGAGTGAGCGCCTCGCCAGCATTTCTGGGTCACTGCTTTCATCAAAGCTTATTGACAAGCTCTCTCATTTAATGTGGAAAAAAAAAAGAAAACATTTAGAGCAAAACCCAAATAAAGTAGTTAGATAGATTAACAGGATTAGTGAGATTCAGACATTAATTCAGTATGGCATTTCAGTTAGAAATGTGTGTGCAGTCTGCAGAACGGCCGGTGTTCAGTGCTAATGCTGGATAATGAAGGGATGAACAATCCGGTGGCATTAAAATGGACTGAGCCGTTTCTGTTTCCTCTGAGGAACAGAGAAATCTCTCAGAGGTGGGATTTTTGCATTTTTGCACCGATAAGGGCAGTTTGCCTGCAACTGAACAAAGATGGAAGTTAAAGGGAGACAAAATCCACCCTACAACAATATTTTTTATGCTTTTCTTTTAATGTGGACATTTAAATCCCTATTTGATGAAGGAAGAATTCAATATTTTGGGAAATACGCTTAATCACCTTTGTTTGCAGAGAATTAGACGAGAAGATTGATACCACTCTCATGTCTGTGTGCTAAGTATGAATCTACAGTCAGGAGACAGTTAGCTTAGCTTAGCACAAAGACTGGATATGAGGGGAAACAGCAGCCTGGCCCTGTCTGACAGTAGAATACAAATTAAAACCAGATATTTGTCTTATTTAGTGAGCTTTAGAGGTGCTGGTAGGCAGAATTTGTTACCTTCCGACAGAGCCAGGACAGCTGTTTCCCTTAATTTCCAGTATGTATGCTAAGCTAAGCTAATCGTCTGTAGGCTGCAGCTTCATATTTACTGTACAGATGAGTCATTTATCTTTTCTAGCTTTGGACAAGAAAGCAAATAAGTGTATTTCCAAAAAAGTCAAACTTTTTCAAAAACAAACAATCTCTGAACATTTCCAACCCTACGGGCCCACACTGCAATACAATACACTACAACCTGAGCTGAACTCTTTCATAACGATAAATGGAAAACTAACTGCGCAACCAGGTATTTCGAAGCTGTCAGAGCTCACAGCATCTTCTTTAGGCTATTAATATTCTGTTTTAGGGTGGATTTCTGTTTTAATGATGTTGCTCCTGCTGTCTCAGCCAGTGTCAGACTGTCTCTCTCTCTCTCTCTGCAGGTTTACGAAGCGAACAACATGACGAAGTAAAAAAAAAAAAAAAAACCCCCTTCAGCTAGGAATTTAGCAATCGTATGTATCTGCCCATTTTTAGAGACGCTATCAGCGTCAGTTAAATCCAGTCTTTCCTCTTCTGGGCTGAATTAAACGTCCATGAGCACAACAAAGCCCTGCGTGTACAGCTCCGCATAATGTCCTCCTGACAGATCCCTGCAATTATGTCTTTGCTGTCCTCTGATACTGCATGTTGATACCTCAGACTGAGACATAATGAACCCGTCTCATCTCATTGTGTTCCCATTGTCTCCTTCTCTATCCTCACATTGTTTTCACCTTCAGAAAATGATTGCATCGTACGTGGCGTCTAGTCGGCCGCAGAATAAGCAATTACATGAGAAAGAATTATGATAGCCTGTTTATGAATAGCATTACTAACCAACACCTGAGTTGATACACAGGCTAATTCCAGTCTTTCATCAAGACGAGTATAATTACATTATAACACAACCCTCCCAGCTTTTCTTCAGCAAACAGATGGACAGATTTGTTGCTACGCCACTTTTTAATAGCGAGAGAGGCCAGTGGCAATGTACATCCACAGGACGGACCTTATAAGCACTTGAAAAAGAAAGATGACTGACAGCTGTGGTTACCATGGTGTTCCCTCCAGGTCAGCCTGTGGCCAGCTCCGTCCTAGTTCAATGACAGCTACAAAGATGGAAATCTCTACAGTTCGACATGGAGCTGAGCTCTGCTGACTGTTGTGCGTAGCTGCAGATTTATTACAGACTGGATGTCTGGACAGATGGGCTTACCAGGCCTGGGATTTCCGTCTGGACATGCTCTGCCTCAGCCACTTTGAGTGCGGGGTCAGGTGGTAGATCAGCTGTCGGCAAATCTTATCAGAAGACTTTCTGGTGTCTGCATCCTGTAGAACAGTGCAGAAAGATAATAACAATGGTATGCAGAACAAAGAGACCAACAGTAGTGACACAGCAGCTTTCAAAATGAGATTTTGTGCTTGTGTGTTCAAGACTAAACATCTTTGCTATTCATTATTTCACACTTTCTGGCCTTTAAGTTTCCCCAATTTTCCAAAATGTACCCACCTGTAACCGTAAGATCTTTCACATGAACAGAACGGTTTGTTATTATTTGTGTCGCCTTGAGCTACTCCTGAACAAAACACAATTTACCTGCCTTGTTGGAGCAAGAAAATCTAATCACATGCAGTGTGCATCGGTGGGGGGGTGGGATTTAACACAGCGACTGGTAAACACTGGTAATTTCAGTTTATTAGCCATGTTGTGGTTGCTGGTGGCCATTGGGTACATCAAAAATAATGAAGTATTCACCATTGATTCTTGAGACATACTGAGCAATTAATTTATTTTTGTGCACAAAACACAGCCTTATTATTTAATGTTCTATTTGATTTCTTATCACTTGGGTATAAGTTAACCCAGTTCCCTCCCCTTCAGGTGTCCCTCATGGGACCTTATTTTCAGAAAAATATGTAAAATGTTTGTATTGTGCCATAAATTACAAATATGATGTTTGTCAATTTAAAAGATAATTTTGACAGTCAAGAACCATTTAGTTTTGTGTGAAACGCTCAGTAAACTACATCTCTCTTCTCGCACAATGTACGTCACCAACACCAACAGGGCCGTTACCTTGGCTGGCTAGCTAGCCAAGGTAAAAAGTGACATTCCCGACTTTCAAAATTATCTTTTAAATTTAAAAACATTCTGTGTGTAATTCATGGCACGATTCAAAGGGGATCCAAAAATTGTAACATGCATCATTTTCCCAAAATAACGCACTATGGTGGTCCACAGGAAGGGGCGGGACTTTTCCTCACTATTCAGATTTAGCTCCTCCTCCAATGTCACATACAGGTTCATTAGAGTACAACCCCCCCCCCCCCCCCATCTGAGTATCTCCCCTTGAGAACAAAACAACCTTTGCAAAGGTGCACCAATAGTATCTTCCTAGCCAGTCAGAGCAGACTGGGCATTTTCGATTGGGGGACTTAAAACCCCAAAATACAAGTATGAATCTGAAAATGACTTTGACATGTCCCGTTTAAGTCTCAAGACATACTTCAATAAATTTAACAAAGTGCATAGAACAAAATGGCAGAAGGAAAATAAGAGAAACATAATTATCTCGGATTAACATTAAATAGATGTTCCTATTTCTAGCTGTTCATAAGTAGGCCAAAATGTGTCAGAAGGATTTCTTTTCACCATCCGCCGGTAGAAATGCAAGTCGATAACATCCTCTGATTGGATTTTCATTGATCTTACTTAACAAAAGGAAACCATCAGGGGAGTATTCTTAGGAGAAAGCTTTGTTTTGCAGAATACCAATTTCAAGCTGGATCTCTGTGGATACTCTGCAAGTGTTACGCAAAGGAAGAACCAAGTAGACTGACCTTCTTAGGACACTGCATCTCTCGAGCCAGGCTGAGCAGCAGCTCGTGAGAGATCGGGTCCACCAGGTTGAGGAAGGCAGCGTTTTTGTATAAGATGTCATTGAGAGAGGTGCCTTCCAAACCAAGATCCTACCAAAGCAGACAAGATGAGATGAATCACAATCACAGCAAGGTGAAAACATAAGAAACACCCTGCAATAATTATCATCAGGCATCTAAAAGTGTGACTTTGGACCTGAGGAAAAAAATGCATTCGCGATGGAAATAAGGCCCTGCTGTGTCAAGGGCAATGTGACTCGAGATGGAAAGATAAAAGAAGTGTTTTGTTTTAAATATTCATTAAAGGAGAGCTTTTTCATCTACAGTAGGAATGTGAGATCTTGGGGGAATCACATGGAACACTGCGTTTTGGCACAACACCATGGCATCACTCCACACATATCTTAAAATGCCACAGCCCCAACTGTTTGCAAGGTTTTTTGTGAGGTAATCTTTCCATACTTTAAGGAATATGCAAGCTAAACTATAAAATGACACTGTTGTACTATCCCTGATCTTTCCATATCCTCCTTGAAAATCTCAAAAGTGCCTTTAATCCCCTGGCTGAATGTTATTTTCAAAACATATGTATCTCTCTAACCACAATTCTTGTATAATTCCTTTTACCTAACAGAAATATGTCAGTGGGAGTACATGTGATTGAAACATTTGTGCAGCACATGAATGCATCGGCAAAGAGGTCAGAACTGACAGCTGTCATTGCAGCTTACTCACAAATATGACAAATCCAAAAGGATCTTCTGTAAAAAAAAAAAAAAAAAAAAAGCAACAAATCAAACCAACTGAAAAAAAAATCAGATTTGTGATGACCTTTCGAGTGTGGCGAGACAGTTCAGCTGTGTGAACCGAACTGTAATCCGCCTTCATCAACATGTCCTTCCCCAAGGTCCCAACGAGGCATAATATGACAAGCACTTGTACAGCCCATGCATCTTTAATGAGAGAGTCAAGCCTTTGAGACAGGCACATGCAGCCTGCACACACCTGCATCCAGACGCACGCACATTCTTTTCTCGCGAACACAATCAGCATTGATAGTAATAGACAGTTTGAGTGGGAGGCTGGCAGCTCCATATTACCGGCTCCCCTTTTTAACAAGGGCAACAGTAAACAGACTGAGCCCAAGCTGGGGAAAAGCGGTTTCTGCCCTTTTGAGAAACAAGGTATAAAAATATCTCTCTTCTGAGTTTAGACGCGATCAATTGTCATGTACAAGCGACGTGAAGACATGAATCCTTCCAATATCTGGAGCAGAGCTCACCGTTACACACACACACACACACACACACACACACACACACACACACACACACACACACACACACACACACACCAATTAAATCTGCAAACTCTTTTGAATTTGAATCTCTCAGATATCTGTCTCCAATGCTGCGAGTAAAGATAAAGTAAGGCTTATTAAATAAAAAGGAAGCTCATTTAGAAGGAGCGAGCCCATGTCCCCTGTGACGTAGCTGTCATGGAGCCGAGGCCAGCCAGTTTATCTCCTCGCTTGATTAAGGAGGTTCTACTCTCTCCTGTGTCAAGGCTTCGGGGTAATTAAAACAGGATTGGCTGACAGCTAAAAGACAGAGGGGGCCTGAGGACAAGCAAAACAAATGAGGCTCGCTGTCACATCTTCGATGCACCTACATATTTCTACACGGGTCGGATGCTACATATCCCACAGCCGGTGAAGAGAAGGCTATAAAAACAAACAGCTGATTAAGATCCAACATCCTTTACTCAGCATAGTGGAGCTGGACATTGTGAAACATATTCAACAACATGACCTACTTAAAAGTACTGTTACGGTCAAGTGAAGATATACTGCTGGAGCTCTTTAAAACAACTGTGGTTTTGGCAGTGGGTTTTACAGATTGTCCTCAGCCAAAAAGCAAAAAAACACGAGTAATCCTTCAGTGAAAATCACCTAACATCACAAGGGTTTCACTTGACTCTAGCACGTGACACTATCAAGGCGATGACAGCAGTCTATATTTATTATTTCTGTGACCTTTTTATAGGCCTAGAGTTAATAAAAGCTTTAGGAGAAGAATCATATTTAGTTTGGTGGAACACAGGACTCCAGGGCTTCCATTGTTGCTGCTGGAGCACAGGCCATTGCCGAGAGAAAAATAGATAGAGAGAGAGATAGAGATAGAGAGAGAGAGATTTGTAGTGGAGAGGGATGGAGGGGGCAGGTCTCTCTAATGGGAACGTAGGAACAGCCTAAGGAGAGGTGAGACTATGGCCATAATAGATAGATAGATAGATATATCATCAAGATCCCATCCACAGGCAATGAAATTTGGGATAATGCAATGGCCGTTTGTTGGTTGGCCATGTCCTAATTTAGAGGCAGGTCATCCCGTCAAATCAAATGACAACATGGAGCATGTTTACTCTCGGTGAGAGTGAACACTGTGGTGAGTCACAAACCGTCTGCCACTGAAACAGCGTGTCACAGGTGCAACGCTCTGACAGTGGCCTACTTTCTATAAAAACAAATGCTTCTGGAAGTGGCAGAACCAGAGAGGCCATGCATGCGGAGTCACCTCGAGGGGGAAACGAGGGGCGAGGAGGGCTGGGGTGCAGAGCAGAGCCCGCAGGAGGGGATTAAAGCACCTGTGGAACTATAAGACTTAGGGCATGCAGCACAAAACAAAGTGCAATCACACACATGAACATCTGCGTGTTCTCATCTGTTGCTTTGAGGATGTATGGCTGCGTGAGCATCAATGCTGGCTTAAGGAAGTAGGCTCCAGTATGTAAATAGGTCTGACTTCCCTGAGGCCGAGCTGTGTGCAGTTTCATCTTCCTTACCTTCCTCAGTAATTTGAGCACATCGGTTGCCTGCTCCATCCTGCGGTCACGGAGCAGCTTCTGTATCTCTTTGATCCACGTCACTCGCCTGATGTACGGGCTGTGGTTGGTCCTCCGCAGCATCCCAGGCAGTTTGTCTGATTTCAGCATCATCGCAAACAGAAAGTCCCCGCCGCCTCGGCTGCCCCTGACGTCGCTCTCTCCGGAGCCATCTAGAAGCTTGCGTCGCTTTTTGGAGAAATTCTCATTGTCCAGGCTGCTCTGCCTGCTCAGTCTGGAGCCCATTGTGTTGTTTTTCTACAGATGCAGGCGGCGTTTGTGTTGCAGCTCAGACAATATTACCAAGAGGAACCCATGATCAGACCTAGTTTTTGTTAGATGCACCTCAGTGGCGGAGGGCAGAAATACAGCACCGTGTTGTCTGGCGCTGCGTGCAGAACCTCGACAGTCTAATTTATCACCACTCTCTCGTGCACCCGGCACACATTGCTATTTTGATTTATTTTTTTCCCCACCGCGGGCTACGTGCGCTTGGCTCGGATGATGAGGATGCTCCGGCTGCTTCATCCGCTGGCTGTCTCTGCTTTACGCTGCTGTTTAGATTTGAGCAACGTGGAGCGTCCGACCAATCAGATGCCCGCTACGCATCTCTCTTCCAATGCTTGAAATTACACTCTGTTACGATCAGCTACAAGGGAGGATAAAAACAACAACAACAAAAAAAAAAGATGTCAGTGTTGTTATATCTTAGACAACCATGTGACAAATGCACAATCAGATAAATCATGCTGAAGTCCTCCAGATGACTAGAAATTAAGACACTAAAGTTGCAGCTTGTTCCTTATTTACCCAGATGCCCAATAATATGTGCTTTGTCATTGGCCCAGTACAAATATCAACTTGTCTTTTGGCAAACCTGTTGTCCCTTAGCCATTGCACAAGCTGTCAAATCCTGTTTGCACTTGTCAACTCCACTAAGCCACTGTCATTATTTGAACTACGTCCATGTCCCAGAGTGTGTTCCTGTCATGTGAATTATCTTGGTCCTTGGACCCTAAAGGGTAATTTGTGGGAGAACTTAATATGCATCCTGCTGTAGGTCCCATCATTGTGGCTTGAAGGACTTTGATCCTGGTTTGACCTTATTTTCTGATATGACGTGTGTACAGTTATTGAGTGGAGCAGGGGGCGGGGAGGGGGTTGATGCTCTCTTCTTAAGCTTTCCCCTGCACCACTGTATCCTCCCTGGACCCTGCCTGCTGTATATTTTCCTATAGGTTGTAATTATGATTGTCTGGCACCATTAATGTAATGAATCACCACCATACTATGAATTAGTTTTGTCAGAATGTTGACTCTTGAAGCAATGCTGATGAAATAACTCATTTTTAAAACACATGCTAGACAGAACTGTCTTTCCTGCTCTTATGTGACCTTTTTGTTTAGGTTGGTGTTATCCAAAGGATCGTGCTGTGCCATCAATGCTATTAAAGCACAGTGAGAATCCAATGTCAGAGTGCTACAACAACCGGACAGAGCAGTGTTCCCTATCTGGGATCCTCGTATAGGCGCAAGATTTGCAAGAGTCCGAGGGGTTGTGTGATGAGTAAGGAGATATACTCAGTCTGTACAAACAGCTGTATAATATTGTCTGTGGCTCTGGAGGGAGAAAAACAGCCCAGATGATGTCATTAGGGTTATCCCAGCTTGGGCTTGAGACTTTAACAGAAAACTTGCGTTAAAAACTGGAGGTTTGAAAGACGTGGTCATTTAGGAGGCTCATGAAATATATTGTGTTGCACTGTGGGAAATGTATGATCCTAGTTTTCAGGCGCTTGACCCAAACTACGGACTAAAGTCAGAATATCTCGGCCTCTGCTGCTTCAATTTTGACCATTCTTTAAAAACATATATCTCTTTGTGTTTCTACAGAAGCCCAGAACAGACAAACCAAACACTGCTCCAGATAGGGACATTCACGTTTTTGCATCGGCCGCCGTAGTTCTCCTACGGGCTTGTCACACAACAGAAGTTTACTTTGGTTGCAATCTGAAACCTCACCGCTAGATAACTTTGATGATTAGTTTTAACTTTGTGCCTCTTGAAATAAGTCAATGAGTGGGTGGATTTTCTCATTTTCTTTATTTAAAACCACAGCACACATCATTCTGTAAATGTGCTAAGGTTAGCAAGCTGGCTAAGATTCAACTGCATTCTTTTGGCAAGATGTTTAAAAACCAATTAAGTGAAAGGCTATAAAGTAACAACATAGGGCAGTGAAATCAACATTCTCAAGATAGCACACAAATCATGAAGAGCAACCGTGAGCAGCAAAACATTGTAATAGGGGTGTCCCCTTAGTTTAGGGGTTAAGACGCTGACCATGAACCGCAAAGTAGGTGCAGCACACACAACAGAGCCTGTCTATGACTTTGTATTATTAAAGGATTGCAGACACCCACACAAACACATGACATCACCCCCTTTTCAGTTGTGGCCATCGCTCTGTTTCTGCAGGCTGCGTTTCACCTGTCACAGAGGAACAACAGCAGTGTGTGATTTGATTTACTGCCGAGTATATAGGCACAGACAAGCCTTCCCCTGTATTGTGTGAAAACACCTGGAGGGAGACCTGGCGGGTGAGACTGTATCCCTAGCAGAAAAGTCAAAATTAAATATGCTTCTAGCTGAGGGATGAAAATATGAACAAGCTCCAGCTAATATTTCATAAAACAACCCCCGTGCAGCAACAGTGACGTACACACAAAGGCTGAAGGAAGGCTTTTGTGATCTGCAACAAACAGATATGTAATTGTCGTCTTCCGCTATAAATCAGCTCTGTCCATTAAATAAATTCCCCTCCTTGGAGCGGCTGGGAACCTGGAAGATCCAGAACCGGATAATAGTGATTCGATTTGGACACAATCACAGCAGCAGCAGCAGCCCACAGGCTCCCTTGACAGTGCTTTATCAGAGTGGCCCAGAAACAGGAGTGCAGGCAGGATTAGGTGAGGTACCACAGATGGGTATTTGCTGTTTAGAAGTTCCTGTCACCGATAATGTCAGATTGGACCTGCGCTTCTGGGCGAAGGCTCAGGCTTTTCAAACGCTCAGAGGACGCCTGAAGAATAAGCCAAATAGACTGTGACACGGCTACTGAGCATGGCAACGCTGCCGGCTGAGCCAATCAAACAGAGTCTTGAGTCAGGGATGAATGCTGCTGGCATCTGTAAACAGATCATTCTCACCTTCACTTTGGCATCGCCTGCCAGATTGAAATCAGCGTGAAATGGAAGGTTAGAGAGGACTACAAAGAAAAACTCCAAAGTGAGGAAAGGAAGGCATCCATCATTTAAAAAAAATGAATATAATGTGCAAGAATTCCAAACCTTATCACTTCCTGGCTAATGTTTCTAAGAGCTCAAACATTACAGAGGAAATCTTACTTAACCTTTGCGATCATCCCCATCTTCCTCTATGTACCTTTCTCTCTATGGACATGGTCGAATAAAAAATCCCATCCTATGTTTTTTCCAAACCACTTTTCCTTGACCTCTATGGAAAACATCATGGGGTCAAGGAAAGTTGAAGGAGAATTCATAAGCACTTAGGAAAATGCAACCGCAGTGCTAAGAGAGTCCGACTGCTCTTACACTCAACACGTAGAAAATGAGCCCTGTGACAAACTCACACCTCCTAAGAAGGATGTTTTCAATTTATCCATAATGTACAATTAAACAGCAATGGCGGATGTTGTTGACGGCCGAATGGTGCGTCGCTTAAATGTTGTAAGTCCTTTTCTTTCGTAAAGGATGTACAGTAGGCTGAAAGAGATAAGAAAAGAAGCATTGAAGCACCTTTCCTTAGCATTTAGAGAGTTTGACCAGCTCTTATCATGGCTGCCACTTGGATACTTCCAGGTCTTTTAACTCAGGAACCTTCCTAAGCTAAAAAAGACTATTGGACCGCAGCCCAAGTCGGAGGTCCAAAATTTTCCCTCTGGTGAATGTAACCAGAAAAAACTGAATAAACAAACAGAAAAGGTACTAGAGAGCGCAACACTTAGGCTGCAATTTGCGGCGCCACCTTGAGAGTATAAGTCAATTATTTTGCCTGTAACGTGCAAAAACATGTACAAATAAAGCACATGCTTATTATCCAGTGCGATACCTGAGCTAAGATGACACGTCATGTTCACATCATCACCAATGAGTGAAGCTGGTCATAAAAACACCTTGTCACCACGCTGACACACACAGAGTCAGCTGAATGGCCAACTCCCTTCTTCTGCCTTCTTTTTGTCCAATATTTTCTATCTATCGGTGCAACACACCAACGGTGAGTGACCCTCCTGCTCTCCCATTGTTATTTGTGTTAAGGTTTGGCTCTGAAAATGCTCGGTGTTGCTTGGAGGAGAGGACACTTGTTTCTGAGCTGAAGGATTCTGTCTGACTGTGAGGTGTGCTGATTTTCCTGGACAGGAAAATGGTTGGGAAGTCCCTGATTGCTGGTCTGGTGGTCCTTCTGGTGGCTGCAGTGAGCCTGTTCCTGGGGGTGTTCATGGGCTTGGGGAAGAAAAACACGGCTCCCCCCTCGGACCACTTCTACTCAAAGGCTGCTGTGGCTGCTGATGCTGGAAAGTGTTCAGAAGTAGGGAGGTAAGAAGACTTTTGTTTTGCAAATGTGACAAACAGTTGTATGCTCGGTTTTCTGCCTGAGCATATGTGAGTGTATTCATGTTCTTTTCAGGGACATTTTGAAGAAAAACGGTTCAGCCGTGGACGCTTCTATCGCTGCCTTGCTATGTGTCGGCCTTTTGAACGCTCACAGCATGGGCATCGGAGGAGGGCTCTTCTTTGTTATCTATGACGCTTCCACAGGTGAGTTACAACTTCTCAACGGATGGTAGCTGAGCAAAAACACAATCTGCAATTTGTCCTCATTTTCTGCTCAACAGGGAAGGTGGAAACCATCGACGCGAGGGAGGCGGCGCCCATGAATGCCACCGAGGACATGTTTGGCAACAACACCAAGCTTTCTCGTACAGGTAGCCTACTTGCCTTGAGCTGCTGGAGTATTTCCCAGGCACAGAGGAGAAAAAGATTAACTGTGTCCTGTAAAGCTGTTGCAGCTACTGCAACTCCACTCTAATGTTGTATCAGAGCTAGAGAGGGATTTAGAGAGGATAAATATTATAGTCCCAAATCCACCCATCCAGCTCCTCTTGAATGTTAACAACTTTGCTATATCTTCTCCTTGTGTCTGCTGCTGGTTACATAACAATAAAAAAAACTAAATTCTGTCTCTCAGTATGCTGATCCTACAAGTCAGACAGGGACCAGAAGGAAAGAGCTTGTGAATTTCAAAATTGTGGCTCTGCTGTTTCTACACGACAGGTGGATTGTCCATAGCCATTCCCGGGGAGATCCGTGGTTACGAGATGGCCCACAAGAGGCATGGCAGGCTGCCATGGAAGGACCTGTTTGAGCCCAGCATTGCTTTGGCTCGAGATGGCTTCCCTATAGGAAAAGCTTTGGCTCATGCCATCTCCAGGAGCAAAGATTCTATTCAAGGAGATGCCAACATGTGGTGAGGGTGAAGAGTTTTAACCGATTTGTGGCTTCACTAACTCTGCTGCATTTTCTAATGACTGAATATAGTACAATAATTTATGCTGACAACGTAAAAGGAATAGTTAGATATTTTGGGCAGTACTCTTATTTTCTTCAAGTTAATCTTCTCCCGGCTACAATGGATGTATTACAAGAACTGGATACTGGACTCCAAGATGGCGGCCATTCATTTGAGGGGAAAATGCTTTAAGAGCCGCAGGGGATATTTTAGCTGCAGTACCGTGAGTGGCCACAGGAGCAAATTGGCAGCAAAGTTGATGAGCAGTGCAGTATCCACCTCTCTTAATACATCCATGGTAGCTTCCTATTCAATGGACTGACATGTACTAGTAGTGGCTTTAATTTTCTACAGGCTCAAACACCAACAATTTAACTGGTTTCCTACTTTTTTTTCTTTGTTATCTTCCAGTGAGGTGTTTTGCGATTCTCAAAAAAACATACTGAGGGAAAACGATATTGTTAGATTTCCAAGGCTGGCCGACACTTACCAAAGAATAGCAGAAGAGGGGCCTGATGTGTTTTATAACGGCTCTATGGCACGAAGCATCGTTGAGGACATCCAGGCAGCAGGTCTTATGTTGTGTTATTCTTCATTGTTGTATTAAGAAATTGTGAATACACTAATAACCAAACTGCACACTACAGAACTCCAACTATTTATTAATTCTTCTAAGACTTAAATCATTAATTTGAGCATTATTCCTCACTTTCAATTCACACTACTGTGCTCGTTGCAGGAGGCATTATCTCCCTGGATGATTTGTTGGAGTACCAACCTGTGCTGAATGAGAACCCTCTGAAGCTGAACGTTGGGGAATACACCATGCATGTCCCAGACGCCCCCTCCAGTGGCCCTGTGCTGGCACTCATACTCAACATAGTGGATGGTGAGCAGCCTGGCCAAGTGCTTGTTGTGTAGCCATGTGGAAGAAAGGATGTCAGGTTTCCCCAGGTCGTCCCTGGATTGTTTCTCCGCCTGTTTTGGAAGCAGACAACAGAGATGCGACTCAGTTCTGCTTGCCAAATTTAATTCACCATCAACAACCCATCTGTTCAGGCCGAGAATCTTTAGTCACGCTTTAAATAAAAAGTGGCATCATTAATTTCAAATGAGCGATGAGATTTAATGTATTCATAAATGAATCTGGAGGAACATGGTGCCATATTCATATGGCTGAAAGGATTCGTGTTGCTATTTGAATAGAGAATTCTTAGTTTAATGACCTGCCACCGACTGAAACGGGTGTTTAGCACCATGATGGAGAATGTTCATTACCTGATTAGACACAGACAATGTGATTCTTTCCTGTGGGTATTTTTCAGGGTACAACTTCACCGGCACAAGTGTTTCTACAGCAGAGAAAAAGACTCTGACGTACCATCGAATCGTAGAGGCTTTCCGTTTCGCTTATGCCAAGAGGAGCAGACTCGGGGACCCACGTTATCTCAATATTACCGATGTAAGACATATTATTATTACACGTCAATAATTTACTTTAGAGCTTTCAAGCTTCACTGTATACTCCATATGATCACCGCTGTCTCCACTGGGCAATTCTATAAGAGTGGGTGGGAAATCCCTCGTGCCTTTATTTAGTCCTGATTTGAGAAGATTAAGACAGTGTTTGCTGTATTGTTACAAAGGCCAGGAAGAGTGCTAAGCTATTGTTTACCGTTTGTCATTTTCACGTGATGAGCTTCTCCTCTGGGACTGACTTGTTTTGCTCCCATCAGCTCATTCTAAACATGACTTCAGACTACTTTGCTGATGGCATAAGGAGTAAAATTACAGATGACACCACCCACCCAGACAGCTACTACGAGCCGGACTACTTTGTCCCAGACAACCACGGGACGGCTCACCTGTCAGTCATAGCTGAGGACGGAAGCGCCGTGGCAGCCACCAGCACCATCAATTTATAGTAAGAAGTCAAACTTTCAGACAAATATTTCCTGTCAGGCAGATTATTGATCACTCATTGAAAAGCTGTTTTATTTCCCCAGCTTTGGTTCCAAAGTCATGTCTCGATCAACTGGAATCATTTTTAACGATGAAATGGACGACTTCAGCTCTCCGTACATGACCAACGGGTTTGGAATCCCTCCTTCACCGAACAATTTCATTCAACCAGGTGTGGCTGGACTGAGTTATCACACTCGTATTACTACAACCCCCAGTTTTGGTTATGACTTTTGGACACATGTCTGTGTTGATGGATAGCAATGTTTTTTTAAATGAAACCCCTTGTTTCCACGATGACAAAGAGGATGACCCTCCCTCTAGTGAGGATGATGCAGAGGTGATGCTTCCACCATGCTTTCACTTGTTCCTGCATTTGTCATTGTCAGGAACTCTGATAGCTTTAGCTCACTAGCAGCATCCTCCTACTGTGACTCACTGCTGTTCTTTGTTTACAGTCATATTTAAAAAGTGTGTCAAATCAACGTGGCAGTTTTTAGCTGTGCAAATTCTGCACGTGGACGATCAAACCACGAGGAAAAAAGTAAACATTTATCAATCAAGCAGTCGCAGCCACATTCTGTTTATCTGTTGCAGGCAAGAGGCCTCTGTCTTCCATGTGTCCGACGATCATCTTTGACAAAGACAACAAAGTGAAAATGGTTGTAGGAGCGTCTGGGGGCACAAAAATCACCACAGCCACCGCCTTAGTAAGTCTGATTCATTCACAGACATCATTTCAATCCGGCAGCCAACACACACACAGTCAGGTATTTGAAACTAAATGTCATTTTTTTTTCTGGCTGAAACAGGTCATCCTGAACTCCTTGTTCTTCAACTATGACCTAAAGAAAGCTGTGACAGAGCCGCGAGTTCACAATCAGCTCAACCCAAATATGACAGTAGTGGAGCAGGGCTTTGAAAAGGTGGGTCACCCATTGAGACGTATAATGCAAAACAACATTTTGAACATATGGAATGGCTTAACAGCTGTTGAAGAGTCACTACACAGGCTACTCATTTGACTACAAGACTGCAATTTTTTAAAAAGCAAACCATGCGTTTGTTTTTTGATTGATTTCCTACAGCACAGGCAACCAGTCGTTTCAATTCATGTCAGTATGAAAATAAACTTCCAAAGACTTGAAACTTGAGATAACAATACTTTCACTTAATAAGTGTTTATTTGTCTTTAGTCTCTCAGATTGTATTCAAGAATCTAGATGTAACGACAAAGAGCAATCCCAGCTCTCATCTGGATTATTTCACACCACTTTTCCACGTCTGACATGATAGGGAAACTGCAACCTTGAAAGTCAGCCGATACCGATACACATCAGACACTCCTCTTTTAAAGAACCCCTCGCTTCAATAACACATTTGTATCGATGCACTTTGCATCTAAAAAATATCATCCTCAAAACGAAGGAAGAAATACACAGCCCACAACATTACTCAGTTATGCAATACTGATGCTTCTTTTTTTTCATACACTGAACTTTGGGCACAATGCATGTCTGTACAGTTCTTTGATAGATTTCCATATCAACCAAGTTTCAGATTGATGCAAGTTGATTTTCATAGTGTGCTGGCTGCCAGAAAGGTAGGAAATAATGCCACAGACTTGTGGCATATAGCCGGCATTAGAAAACAATCAGAAATGCATTATTAATGGATAGAATATATTGATCTCTATCATGGACCAGTAAAACCATAACCTCCTGCAAAAGACTATATGTTTGTGTATGTGTAATGGTTCTACCACGGCAGAGTGTTCTGGAGGGTCTGGTCCAGAAGAACCATGTAACACAGCTGCTGCCGACTCCAGACTCCGTGGTCCAAGCGGTGGTGCGGCAGGGAGAGCGTCTCTGTGCGGAGTCCGACCCCAGGAAAGGTGGCTATCCAGCAGGATACTGACCGTGACTTCGGGACCTTCTCTGCTCCCCTCAGTCTGGACAGTCTCCTCAAAGACACTCGGATAGAGCCACAATACAAGAAGGTGCCTGCACTGAAGAAGCAGTGTTTTAAGGTATGGAGACAAAGCCACTACTTACTTTTACACAAACATGGAAAATGACCAAAACCTCTTTTACTCAAACTCAATTATTCAGCATTACTTTTATCTTTTTGGGCATCATTCGAGTTTGGAAGTCAAATAAGAGGTTGTACCTAGTTTGACTCCCGTTTCATCACCATTGTGTACTGGTGATGTTTTGGGGAAACCCAAAACACAATCTTCTTTATATGATAGACTTATTTTATGTATGACATGGTATTCAACATATTAAAAAACAAAGTAAGCATCAATAATTAGGCAAATAATAAGAAAAGTTTCATTACTATGCATTTTCAGGTATGAATCCGTGTGGTTGTCCATGTAGTACTTTCATCTATTTTATTGTCAAACTGGTGACAAACCATCAATTGAAAACTAGACCCATGAAACAATTAAAAATAAGGACACCTCAGAATGTTTGCCTGTTTCTACCCAAATCTTTCTCCTGGTTGTAAGTTCATCCTGAAACAAACATTTAGAGGAAACTGCCCGTGCCGTTTTCTACCGCGACTCTATCGTGAAACTATTACTCTTGAATTGTAAATGTTTAATATCGAGTAGAGGTTAAGTTAATGTATAGTGTAATCTGAAAAATACATTTGCAGATATATTTTTCTAAACATGCATTGTTCTTATGCCATGTTTGTTGCCATGCTTGCTATTAAACATTTTTGAACAAAGATGTTATATTTGACCACACAGACCCTGTGGGTGTTTCTGTTACTGGAATATTAGGCATGAAATCACTATATACTATCTTTTCTTTTAGTTTGTGGCTGGTCAGATTTTGTTATTTAGTGTTTATACTGAACCTCATGTATTGTGGAAATAACATATTAATACATTTAATCCAGGGCACACCCAGTAAAAACAGAAAAGCAGCTGGCACAGTGAATGTTTGGCATTTTTGACTGATTAAAAACTTAAAAGATTTTTCAATTATAAAATGTGTTGCATAATTCTTTGTATCGACTTATTAATCAGCTCACTGTTTCAGCACTAAAACACACACAATTGGAAGGGCCTGCGCAGAAAGGGAAAGATATATTGTTTTGTACCCGCTCCGTGATTCAGATTTGCTCTGAAATGTTATGGGTTCTTCCTTGACTCATGATACACCCTTCCACTGAGTTTCGTGAAAATCCGGCGAGTAGTTTTTCCGTAATTCTGCCGACAAACAAAGCAAACCGAAAACACAACACATTTTTTCGTACCGTGTTTCAATTACGGTAAAAGGAGGCAAACAAAACGTGTGCAGGACTCAGGACCCCTGAAGAGACTGACCCTGTTTTACTTTCACTGTCCAGTGAGTTTCAATCAGTATTCAGTAAATATCTCCACTCATGTGCGCTCTTTGAGAAAATGAAAAACCAAGTAGAGTTGCCTTTGGTAAAAACCTCAATCTCAAAAATGTTTAAAAACTTTTTTTAGCTGCTTTTTCCTCCGTTCAGGTTTAAAAGAGCTTTAATATCCTCACAGTTGGTAGAATGTTCGCAACTTTGTAAATTGCTCAGCTGCATGAAAAGCACTTTGTAAACAACAGCGTCAAATTACACCTTCTGCTTCAAATGGTTTAGTGCAACTTGATGGATAACAATTAGTGGTTTGGATCCCAGTTCAGCAAATTATACCCTCGACATAAAGACTCTTTGGGTAAAAGCAGAAACTATGTTGACATACACTCCTTTAATAAACTACACTCCTGAACCAACCCTGTGAACTGGCCCTCACAATGTCAGTTGTAATCAAGACACACAGGTATTATATCACCCAGTGCCTGAAGCAACATCACAACACGCAACAGTGACAAAACCTCACTTGTGAGAGCTGGATGTATCACATAACTCTGCGGGATATTTACATTAAAAACAGGCCTGCTTTTACTACAGCAAAACTGTAATTTGTTTATGCGGTAACTGACACAAACACAAACATTGTACTTTAACTCGGTCACCAGAAACTTCCAGGGGAACTGCAGACAGATGGTAAACAGAGAGAGAGAGAAAGTTTCTGTCAACACAGAAACCCCACGTTAGATATGGTTGTGCAAGAAGATATGGACAACTTTAAATACTACTGAACCCATTACTAAACTCTACCGTAGAGATGTTCCCACTGCAGATACCGTACACGCCCCACGCCATTATTCCTACACTTGCGTGGGATTAAACAAAAACAAAAAATAAGATGAAACAAGTCGTTTATTTTCTTGAAAGAAGTGCAGTGAGTAATGGATTACATGCCCGTCAAGAGACACCTGAATGTAATGTTATCAGCCAGAAATCGTTCTCACAAACCGTGTTGGACGTAAGTGGAATACAGATACAGTATCTGGTGTTACGTCATCACGGGCGATATTACATTATAAATGGGAGCACGATTTCCTCCTCCGGATTCCAGCTTAATCTCTATTCTTCTGGCGAAATATGAATCATCTGGGCCACTGAAACACATTCATCTTGTAGCCAACTGTGATATTACCCTCATTCATCAAAAGGGGGAGGCTAAATCAGCACAGCTGTGACAGCTCCTGATAAACTTTAGACATTTCTACCACGCTGTTGGAAGGCTCGTTATGTCTGTCTGACAAACCTGGACTGTTGCTGTGGTTGAGGTATTGAAAAACATGTTCCGTTCGTCATCACGCCATCATTTGAATCTGTACCCGATCACAAGTGAAGAGACAACTGATCTATTGTGGCTCTTCCCGTTACACAGCCTTGTTTATGACTACCTTCATTATCCTCTCTAAATACTAGCCAGGCAGCACGTGCATAGAGTTCCACATTTGCTTAAATATTTACAAATTAAATATTTTAGTGCCGACGGAGCAGGAAAGATCTTCGTCCCCATCTAGTGTTAAGACCGCAGTGACTCCACTCAGCAGTGTCCTTTTCAGAAGCCAAGATGACTCTAGTTTGTTGCTCGACAGGGAGCAGCTACAGTCGCATGGAGACCGGTGGTGCTGGCGATTGCAGCTCCTGGTCCAGCAGCCGGAAGAGCATGGCACTTTTGTTGCACTGCGAGGTTTGTCCCAGAGAACGGTGGAGCTGAGCCTGCAGGTAGTGGACGTCCCGCAGCCGCTCCTTACAGTTCAGCTTAGAGAAATATGCTGCTGACTCATTTAGCGTGTCAACAGCCAAAACGGCCAAATGCAAATCTGCAGGGAGACAATAAACAGCAGTGTGTAAATAGCTAGGGTGTCAGTGTTCGGTGGCGGTGCGGGGGAAGTTTGTAGAGGTTGTTACCTGCTTGCCCTTGTCCGTTTGGCCTGAACCCAGCCACTGCCATCTGACAGCGGGCAGTTAGCAGCAAGGCTCGTCCCTTGTCCATGACTGATCCGTGGGCCAGAACAGGCTCAATGGCTTCATGCAGAACACTCAGAGCGTGCTCAGGAACCCCCAACATCAGCTGCAGAAAGGAGAGAAAACAAAAAACAGTAAAGAAACCACCAGCCACACTGCAAAAAAAAAAAAAGGCTTTGGTGATTTGCATGTATGAGAGCCGTAGCAGTGTTTGAGACGTTGACCTGAGTGAAGGCCAGGTGGAGGATGGTCTCTGAGGCCAGGGACTGTAGGTGGTGCTGTCTAGCCAGAGCCAAGGCCTGCAGGAGGAGAGGAAGCGCTGTGGAGAAGCCAGACGACTCCCAGTGGAGCTCAGCGGTAGAAAGCATAACTCTGTATGAGACATACACAGGCAGTGATGTAGACGAGAAAATAAAACGTGGCTCACAATGATCCCCCGATGACATCAAATATTTATGGGAGCCGTGAAATAAGTGAGTCAGTTAAATTCCCCAAAAAAGGAGTTTAGGTGAGTTGACTCTACACTCTAGGAAACAAATAATCAGAAATAATGAAGTGACTATCTACCTGATGACCACCTCCGTACATTTAGTCTTCTCACAGTGCACCTGCAGCCGCTGTAAGATGTTGTACGCCTCAGTGCTCCGGTTGAGAGCCTTCAGAACTTGAGCTTTCCTATCAGTAAACATGGTGTTACAGCTCCAACAAACATGTGTGAGACAACCATTGTTAAGATCAGAAGTGCGTTGACGTTACCTGTAGAGACCTTCTGTTTTGTTTAAGGCAGAGATCGCCGTCACTAGTGGCTCTGCCAAATGGTACTTCCCTTCGTTCATGTGTCTTTCAAACTGAATTTTCAGATCACACAGCATCCAGAGCTGATTCGGAGAAATAGGTTCACAAAAAACAATTATTTGTTGAATATTTCCTATCATGAAGAATGCTCATATCATGCATCACAGAAAAAAAGTCTCCCCCTCAAAACCCAGCCAAATTTTAT